CGAAGCCGTATATGGGTGGAGAATTTCATAGTTGTATCGAGCTAATAGCTAGCTAGGCAAGTTGTCTACGAGAAATGGTTGAACTACCAGTCTTCTAAAATCACATCATATCGAAGGGAAGGATGTATAGCTCGGTGTCTCACAAGTTAAGGAGGTACAATTCTTTGTAAATAGATTATCACCAGTGAGACTTGAGAACATCACCATGAACAAATTTCGAGGTCGAAATTTTTCTTAAGGAAGGGGGAAATGTGATACCTCGATCTGGACCTATATACTAAAACCAACTACTGAATGAGTCGGGTCACGAACCAGATTGAACCAGAATTTTGTTTCAACAAGCAACTGAGCCTGATCACGGGAGTTAAAAGGCCAATGTTATACGGTGCTACAAAGCTATGTGAGGATACCTTTTATGGTCAAGAGTAAATAACTTGAGGTGAGGTAAACTATACGGGACAAGCAACGGACATCATCAAGGTTCATATAAAGAGAGTAAATTTTTTTTTTAGGCAAGGAAGTACAAGAGTGGTGTTGACAAAGGAATGAGATTCAAGCAAATTTCGGGGACGAAATTTTTATAAGGGTGGAGGAAATGTTACACCCCGACCTTTGAGTTCAGGTTCGACCATAATACGTGAACGGTTGGATTAACAGTTACGTACTAAGGATTTCAACCACAGATTAGAAATAATAATTATTATTATTATTATTATTATTATTATTTAGAACAAAAAAAAAAAGGCCAAGAGGGCGCTCAGCATGGATTTTTCCCAAAACCCCCATGCCAAGAATCCAGCCGGCTTCACTAAATAGAGAAACTCAACCCTTCCCCAAAATTCCCCACGTCCAAAAAGAATAAACCCTCTCAATTTTCCCCACCTGTGACCGCCGCCAGCAAACCCCTCCCCAAAAAGACAAAACACAAGGAAGAATGGCGACCACCGAGAGAAAGTAATGGAACAGCAAGGATTTGGATGGTCATGTTAGGTTGATTTCGTCCCAAAGACGATGGAATTGGATGCATCGACATCTCAGTGCTGCTGTCCGTTCATCGGCGGAGGAACGAGAAGTGGAGGTGCGTTGAGCTCCTTCTTGTTTGCTTTCGGTTGCAGTCAGGAGTCACCAAAATCAATTGGTTACAATAGTCAACTTTTGAGGACCGTCCATTGTAACTACTCGTCTTCTCTTAGGGTCCTGTGGGCGAATAATTGTCATTCAAAAGAATGCATTAGGTAAGGATGTCAATATCCACAGAAGGATGATGTAATTCATCTGGCTCGAGCAGCAACGAGACGACGGTTGGGGATTAAGCTGGTGGCCCCATGCTGATTGGTGAGCGCGTTTGCTTCCATGGAAGTAATATATATACCTCGGTTCCCAGGGCAAACCAACAACGAGACTACCGTCCATTCTCACAATTGCCTCTCGATCGACTGGTGGTGAGAGTATGCGGCAGCAATTGATTTCAGTGAAGAGAAATCAATCTTGGAGAGTAGCTGATCAAATTCAATCAGTTTCAACTTAAGGTGAGTGTAAAGGGGGTAAATTCTACGCCTTACGATTTTCAAGTATTTTCCTTGAGTATTTTCGAGTATTGATTTACGTGATGTATGTGCAGTATTTGATTCATGTTTGAGATTGCGTGATTATTGTTGATGATATGTGAGTTTTTGTTTGAGCTATGTTTGATGTGAAGATGCATGAGTTATTATTTAATTTAAAGCTTTACGAGTATAAGTTTTTGTTAAAGAGTAAGAAACAAATTCTTTTAAAGAAGTAACTCACCTTAAAGAAGGTGAAATCGTTTTAAGAGTTTTTAGTCACTAGTGCCAGTCCGTTGCCATTTGGGATTTTCAGACAGAGCAGCAGTTATGCTCTTGAGATTTTCGAGACAGAGCAGCAGTTATGCTCTTGAGACTTTTAAGATGAGCAGCAGTTATGCTCTTGAGAATCGTGGTGAAGAGCCACCACGATAAGTTTAAGATGTTAGGGGGATGAATCGTTACGACTTCCCTAACTAAGTTTAAGTTTAAGGAAAGCCTTGATGGCTTCTCATACGTATGAGTTGGCAACCGGACTAGCTAGTGAGGGATCCCAGTGTCGGTCAAGTATTTAAGTCAAGCTTTCAGATTTAAGAGTGGAGTAACAGTAACTCCCATACAGTTTACAGAGTTAAGCTTTTTAATAGTGGAAGTACTAAACAACTTCCACTCAGTTAACTAAAGTGATCAAGCATTAATAAGATGTTAAAACGTAAGGACGTAGACTGACCCCATCTCACTCACCAGTTTGAAGAGCTAGAGGAGCATTTAGTGGGCAGCGAGTTCGAGGGCAGCTAGCTAGAGGAGAGCAGTATAAGCGTCACGGAGGGTGCCTAGTTAAGATTTTCAGTAGCAGCAACGACAGGGACTACTTAGTTGTTTGCATTTTATGATTATGAGTATAGACTGGAGATCAGATTGAGAATTTAAAGTTTGAGTTTAATTTGCCCACATGTTGGGGCTTTGCTTTGAACTACAAGTGTGGGTTTTTCAGTATTTTATTTATGAAAATTTTTCCCGCTGCAATTTAAGATTTGAGTATTTTATTTATCAAGGGCGTTTTAGTAAAAGTAGTACCCGGCCGGGTTAGGGTGTTACAAGTCTTCACAAGCTCTTCCGACGATGTTCTTCTCCAGCGACGCAAGCCATCCGAGTTCGTCTTCTTAGATTTTCTTACTTCGTTTGTTTCTTCTCTCCTTTTGTCTTTCCTTGTCTCTGCGGGGAACGAGTTAGAAGAAAAAGGAAGAGGATAGGTTGGGCATTAGAAAAATAAGTGGGGATACAATAATAAAGAACTATCATGGATTTTGTAGCCTATCCCAAATCCCACCTCTAGGGCTGGTTTTTCCTAGTCCATGGGGCTCACGGTTTTGGTACCTCAAGGTCTGTGGGCCCCATAAATTTATCTTCTCAAATTCCATCAAGCAAACAAAGGTTTTGGTCACAAGTCCATTTGATTTGGGTTTCATGTACCAAATCCATGATAAAAACCCTCAAGCAAACAAGGCCTTATCCTTTTTTGAAAATTTTCATTTCACTGATGACTCTATTGAAGATAATTGTGCTTAATCTTGTCGCTAAAGCTTGTCAACGCGACGATCAACCAAAAGCGTCACAAAAAATCAAGGTCAGTGGGGTTAGCAATCGTTGGTTGGATGTCTTCGAATCATTTAGCAAAAGTTTTATATGTCGATAACAATCCAGAAAACTGTGGCTAAATTACTTTTTTTTTTGTAGTGAGTTGTTCGTCATTGGCTTTTTTATTAACATGCAGGAAGAATGTCTTTTCATATGACGATTTCAAATTGGTGTTTTATATGGAACGACCTTCTGGTTACTACTTGTGTGATCCAAAATAGGTATGTCTTGTGCATTGATTGTTTTATAGATTAAAACAAGCTTTTCATGCTTGATTTGATAAATTCCATATGAGGATATTAGTGCTTGGATTTCCACATAGCTTAAGTTGTTCGTCTTTGTTCATGTCACATACAAGGAAAGGGATTCTGATGTTCTTATTATATCGATGATATGGTTGTCACTAGTGATGATGAGGGAGAAATTTCAACATAATCGTTTATTTCAAGACTTTTAATAGTTTAATGGCCAACAACTATACTGCTCTTTAAAGACAAACTTCTCTAAAAGCTCAAGCCAGATCAGGCCTTTATTTCGATAAATTTTTCATTATGTTCTTGCTAATACTCCTAACTAAACAAAGACTCATCCGAGGAGCCACCATCGATACTAGATACATGGATCCAAAGTTGTCACTGGCCTTGATTGGGAGAAGTTAGAGTGCTTACTTTATAGGGTTAGCACCATGCTAACTACTCTAATCACCATCAATTTTCTTAAGTCAAATTTGACGGTGGTTATTAATGAAGGGCGTGTTTGGTATTTAAAATTTTTTTAAAAATAATAAATAAACTAAAATCTAAAATATATTTTCTCTCTCCTTCTTTTGGTAGTCATTTCAGCTCATAAAATTACACTAAATTCATTACTACTTAAATTAGTAGCGGTTTTGGCGGATAATAGTGATTTTATTATTAGTAGTGGTGATTTAAGAAGTTGTAATTAAAACCTATGAATTTTGGGGTTGATAGTAGTGTTTTTATACTGTTCGGTAGTGATTTTCATGTAACTTTTGACACTAATATTACTATGACCATACCAACAACTACTAATATTTGTAAAAAACACTACATATTATAATAAAAATCATTACTAATACATAATTACTCCATACAAATCACTACCAATATATAACTACTACATATAATCGAAGTCTCTTTCCTCCTCGGCCTGCATGATCCCAGCAAGTCCCGCACCCCGATAAGTTGTCCCCGCCTCAGCAATGTCACAAAGATATGCGCCCAGAAGAATCTTGTTGAACCCCTCAACTGCTACAGACATCGGCGTTTGGATTTGATCAACGGTGGCCCCAGATCTGTTGCACTAGGGCATCGACGAGTAGTGGGGGAAGGCAGATCCGAAATTTACCTCTCTCTACGTCGCCGACGATGCAGATAATGGAGAACAAGACGTCGGCACGTGCCATCAACCTACATTCTTTTCTCTTCCCCGCAAGCTTCCCCCACCGAATTCGTCACCACCTGCCTCCTCCATCACTATCTCCTGCTGCGGCCATTCTTCTCCCGTCGCTGTCTGCTATCATTGCATGTTTCAGTGGGTCTCTCGTAGATGTTGTCTGTTGCCGCATCGAGACGGTTCATGTAGATAGAGGGGATAGATGGTTTGTGTAGAAAGAGAGAAAAGAGGAGAGGCGGCCGTCAGTGAGGAGTGGTCGCAAGAGAGATTATATATTAGGGTTAGAAGTAATATTACTAAAATATCCTTTTGTTAATTCTGACTTTAGAGTTATCATTTTAATCTAAGCTCTTAAACAAATTAGCATGATTAGCACCTAATCCCACTCCGCTTGAGAACTTTGAAACGCAATCTCATTTATCATCTTCAAACTCATTGATATTGATGATACATGGATGTCATAACTGAAGCGCTCGTCTTGCGCACAAAGAAAGAACCAAAAGGTAAAATGGGAAATCTGTATATTTGAACAGCCGCTCGTTGGCATACACACAATGCATAAAGATACAATTAATGTATCCAAATGGCCACATGCAAAGGCGACAAATATAGCTGCCTGAAGTTAGTGATGGTGAGGATCTGGGCCTCCAGGGGAGATCCTGTCGGAGCTTATTTCAAGGTGATACGACAACTTCTTATAATGCTCAAGTTTGGAGTCATCAAAACCCAACTCCCTAAGCAGATTACGGCTCCTGCTGCCAACTGCTACTGCGCCCGCCGTCTCGTCCTGCTGTTGCTCCCTGAGAACACGAGCCTGCGAGAAGGTGCAGAAGACGAAGAAGACCACAAACAGCAGTATCATTGTGCCTTTTGGGATCGAAGCGGCCATATTTTACTGTTTCTGGTGGATTTGGTGTAGGGATGTTTCAGACAGGTAAGCTAAGCAATAGTTATTCGGCTAGGGAAATGGATCATACTCTTTTAAAACTGTTCACCCCTATTTATAGCGAAATTGCTATTGGACTTGGTGACTGTAATGGTCTTATACATTATACACATGGGAGAACAACATTATCAGTCCAGTAAGTGGAGGGGAACGTGCAACCTCCATATACATACGACAGAGTTGTCGTATACTAGTATTCCAGGAGAAAACTTATCTTTGGGCCGCTAGATGCTATGTCTCTTCCCCTTATTATTATTTGCGAGGTTGGTCGGTTGGTTAGTTAGTTAGTTTTAAATTTATCATGTCTCAATAAAATTAGGTGCTTCCACTTCCATCAAGGGACAGAACGAATAAAATGGCAGGGTTATGACCTCTACTATATACGTACGTGTCAATCACCTTTTTCATAATTCCGTTATGTTTAATGTTAGAACAATTGATTAAATCTACTTATTGCGAATAGGAGTCAAGAATGATGCTTTTTGACGTGTAATTTGGTGTCGGCCACATGAGAATTATATTTGGATATATGCCCAATTAATCATCTTTTGGTTCCCTAAAGATGATTGTTTTTATATTTATTTTTCAAAATTCAGTTCAGTTACTTTCGAATTTAGACCACATGTTCCTAAAATTCAAGGATTAAAATAATTTATGGGTGAGACTCGACAGAGGACAAGTAAAAATTACTATCTACATAACTCTACAAAATTCAGATTTGAGATCTCCATCAGCCACTTAGTTAATGTTCCGAAATTCATAAGGGCAAGGAGGGGAGATTCATGTGATTAACCTTGTGGTTAATAACTTTGCATAATCTGCCACGTTAGTGTCACATAACCATATATGAAAGACTTCTAACCATTCCCTTTAAAAATTTTAAGATAAATTGTGCTCTTTCGTTTTAAGCTGGAATTTAAATTTTTTTGCACAGATAAATCAGATAAATTGTGCTCTTCAAAATGATGGTTTTTTTTCCTAGAAATACCACTTTTAAACTAAAAAATTTGAGAAATACCACCCATTTCAAAAAAATTCCACTAATACCACCTTATACAAACTGCCGCCTGGGGAAGCGTTTACCACAAAAACCACGGGGAATAGCCACGGTTTGTATTAGGTCAGCCCACAAACCACGTGGGCAAGTGGCGGTCTTAGCGGCCGTGGGATCACCCCACGATCCGACGACGAACCGTCTGCCATGTCAGCGATCCGCGTCTTGGAGGAAGAAACCACGCCTCACCACGCGGTTTGTGATTGAAAGGCATAAACCGTGGGTGAGGTAGTCGGTTTTTTTGTGGAGTAAATTCCCAAACCACCTCCCATCCCACGACCCTTCTCCTATAGAACCCCCAATCCTCATTTTCTTCACACCAAAACCAACCTTCTCTCTCTCTCTCTAAGATTTTCTCTCTATCCAACCCCCTCTCCACCCAAACCTAGAAAATAGTTTTCTGTTGGTTGCAGCTAAATCCGAACTGCTATCATAAAACATTTCTTAGGTTTTTCCTTCAAAATACGCTAACCTCTATTGGTTGTGACTCGTGTCAGAATAACTTACGCGCCATTCAAAACTCCGAATCATTGCTTCAGTGTCAACAGCGTGCCACACCTCCTTCTTCGTGCCCAATTGTTGGCCCTTCGTAAACCTAGTGGTTGGACCCCATATTGGCACCTCTGGCGACTCCATGTCGGCATCAACATACCAATTTTCATTCAGAATGTTATTGTACTACGGGATAGGCACATCGCCTTCCTCTTCTTTATCCTCAAGCTCCCTAACTGGACCTGGCAGCGCATCTTAAACCTCATCTAGATCATGGAAGGCACCTTCATCAGCTTCGTAATGGTAATTGTGATAACTACTATTTCCTGCATGGAAGTCATACTCGAGTTGGTACTGGTAGCCTTCTTGTTGGTTGTCATGGTACCGTTGAGCAGTAATAAGGATCCAAAGATTGATGATGAACTCTACCTCCTTCTTGGTACTCATGGTAGGAATGATGATCATGTTAATCTTGGTAGAGATGATCTTCATATACTCCACCCCCACCGTGGATACCGGATGTTTGGCCATCTCCAGAATGACCTCCACCGCATTCGACTTCCTCGATGTAAACAAACATATCTGTTATGGAAATGTTATTGGCATTCAAAAATTCGAGCATGACATCAACTTCCTCCTGAGTGGTTATGAGAAATTCCTCATACCACAAAGACCCGCCTTATATGTTTGGATATAGATACACCATACGATCAATTCTCCCAGTGCCCTCCAGGCAAGTAACCGTAGTAGATATTTGACGGAGCTATTCAAGGTTCGGTCTCGTAGCGACCTTCACTTTCTGAAAATCACCACCACATAATGTACCCCCTTTCCAGTCTCTTCCGTGTGACCATTCCTGCGTAACCCAAGGGTGAACTTTGGGAATGCCATCTGCAATTAAACCGTAACTAAATTAATACCATAAAATTTGTGAAAGACATACACATGAATAATTTTTGAATGATAAGCATTTAAAATCACAAATCACAATAAAAAGTAATACAAAACAAACTTACGAAGTAATGTTAATTGCGAAAACTACAAAAAAGTAGGGAGCAAAACAAAATTTTAAAGAAGAATAAGGAGATGGGGTGAAGAGACGAGGTTTCCGGACTACCTTTTATAGGTAAAATATCAATTGAAAACCGCCGCTCCACTCTGCGGTCCTCTGAAAACTACAATGTGGGGGGGGGGGGGGGGAGATGGGCGGTTTTCACTTGACATGCAAACCCCACGTCTGCCACCCCTTGCATGCCAAAATGTCGGCTGTCGGGGGGATTGGGTCGACATACAAACCCGCATTTACCAAGTTGGTATAGAGTGGTACGTTATAGTCCTGTAATTTCCCCCCAGAAATTGGTGGATCCAATAGATAAAAAAGATTTCGTTCCATCTGTGCAAAAAAATATCATAATTCGAATTAAAAACAAAGCTGATACTAGGTGGTACGAAGGTGGTAATGAGGGTATGCGTGGTATGAATTTTTTTGTTGATGTATATGAAAAATGGAGCTCATTTTGTAGTTCACAAGGAACTAGTTCCATCTGTACAAAAAAAAAAAAAAAAATTTGAAATCCAAGTTACAATGAAGATTATTCACGCTATCTTGAATTTTCCACCCCTATAGATATGAATTTTCTGGGCCACTTAAATTCAAAGGTTAAGATTTAGTTATGAAAGTTTATTCATGCTATCTTTAGCCCTGTTACTTTCCGATCCCCTTTTCTTCCTTTTCCCCCTTTTAGCTTAGTTTTGATGGATTCAAGGGGAGAAGGATGAAAATATTTATTTTTTAGATTACCCAGAAACCTCATCTCCACATCCCACTTTTTGACAGCGGGTTCTACTAAACCTGGAGGCCACCTGCATTCAATTTGGGATGAACCTATTTATGGTTGGGAAAGAAGGGATTTTGGACAAATCAAAATCTACTTTTTCTCCCATTTATTTTTTAACTAGCTCCTACATTTTGACTGAGAATTTGGAAAAAATAGATAAAAAGAAGACATTAATTATGATTTATATAAAGATACTCCTTTTTCTATGTTTTTAAAAAAATAGCCCTTCAAAGTATGTGTTTATTATAATGCTATGATAAAATCATGATATGATTGTGGTATTATGACATGTCACATTAGTTTTAACTCGATTTTTTTTCATAGAAAAAACTCATTAATTATAATATGTATAATGACACCATTTTATTGTAATATTATTATTATTGACATATCATACTCTAACCACTATGTTAAGAATAAAAACACCATGTTACCACTATCATACCATGATATTTTCATATCATAATGATAATAACATGATATAAGAGCAGTATATTACGACATCAATTTCTTTTGCTAAAGATAATAGTTCATACTATCATATCATTGTCATACCAACATCGTACCAGTATGATAAGACTGCATCATATCTGACTCGGACGAAACTACACTACAGTAAAATCCCAACTAAAGCCCAAGTTTTTAAACTATAAAATCCCAACTCTAATATGTGAATTGGAATGATTGCTTTGGGCACGGTAATCGTGAACCGCAGAGGGATGCATATATGGTCGAAGACCCCAATCTCAATTGCTAAACCGAGGTAAGCATAAAAGGTCATGTCACTGGACCCTCTCGGTTTAGACAATCGGTAGTTGACTTACTCCCTCACTCAACTCTAAGGTAGGACGGCTTAATCACGATTAACCGATTGCTTAACTCAATATTGAGGGTTGCCCTAATTTAACCTAGTTTAGGTGCCTTAGAAAGCGGAAGGAAAACCAACTCGATTGTGTCTCCCTTGGAAGGGGGATTTTCCTCTCTAAGCTAGGTTAAGGTGGCTAATTAGATTGCCAGCACCAACATGCACAAACCTAACGGTGCTAAGCAAATTTATGCACAATTTTTTGGTTTCTAAGCACCTAAATGCACAAACCTAAGGTTTCTAAGCACAAAACATGCACAACCCCTAGATTGCTGAGCACAAGTATGCACAATCATGATGAATAATGGCTCATTCATTGAATTAAACAATTCCCAATGACAATCATCCAAAACACATGAAAGAAAACTACATGGTAGAGTTAGGGTTTCACAACACTCAAGTGAAAGGAGGTCTACTCCATGCTAGAAGTGGGGAAAACAAAAGAGAAAGAGATGGAAACCATCTTGGATGATGCTTCCAGTCTTCTTGGCTCTTGAGTTGAGCTTTCCTTGGAGGAAATCTTTCCAAAATCTGCCTTGAAGCTAAACCCTATCCTTCTTCTCCCTTTGTTTCGTGTTTCTCTCTCTATAATGTCGAAGAAGGCTTTTCACACACAATGGGCTCTCCCTCTCTCTCCTCATTTCAGCTCATCATTTTAACCCGAGACGAGTTGAGTTCACGGGCTGAGTTCATGACCGTGAACCATGAAACGCGTCCGTGAACTTCAGGCGTGCACCAAAACACGCCGCATCATTCACTCCTGTTCCTGGTCAACTGCC